ATGTGTGTGTGTGAGTGTGTAGTGTGCTCGTGTGGGTGGGTGTTTTCACATGCCTCATCCAGATTTAAAGCAGATTTAGAAAACCGATCGCGTTCCGCGATTCCGATCTCTCCTCCTCGGACGATCCACGGTGCTGACAGATCACATACGCCCGTAACCCACCATTTCGCTTTTATTTTTTTTACCGCCCTATTTCTATTTTTACACGGTCTGGTGATCATACTCTTTATCCTCAACGCTCATTCTTTTCTATTCTTTTCTCTATTTTTCCGGGGAATGTGTGACTGTGGGCGTGGCATATTCGGAGAATAATAGTCCAATACTACTAAGTCGTAAACTCTATAATCTTCCTATTCTTCTTGATGGATATTATATTCCAGACTAATATCCATAAGATTTTCCGGCAGAAAATGTGTATCATCACGACACAACTCTTCATTCTGATGAAGGTGTTAGTTCTCTCTTTGTTATGCATGGTTCGATCTATCTCCTACGCCGCGGGAGTTTGTGCGTCATGTCCACTAGAGAGAGCGAGAAAGAGGGTGGGAAGTGGGAGAGAAAGTGAGAGCATAGGGAGCGCGTGGAAGAAAAGGAAGGACGAGAGGAGAGGAGGAGGCAGGGAGGGAGGGAGGGAGGGAGGTGAGGAGCGGAGTGAGCGAGAGAGGGAGACTAGACGAGAGGAGAGGAAAAGTGAGAGAGTGGCGTGGGAGATAGGGGATGGATCTGAGAGAGAGGAGATGAGAGGATTCAGAGAGGAGAGAGAATCCATTTGAGAGTAAGAAGAACGAGAGAGAGAGAGAGATAGAGAGAGAGAGAAGAGAGAGGAGGAGAGTAGAGAGAGGGGAGAGGAGAAGAAGAGAAGAGAGGAGAGCAGAGAGAGAAGAGAGAGAGAAGAGTAGAAGAAGAAAGAAAAGAAAGAAAAGAAAGAAAGAAAGAGAGAGAGGAGAGAAGAGAGCGAGAGAGAGAGAGAGAGAGAGAGAGAGAGAGAGAGAGAGAAGAGGAGAGAGAGAGAGAAGAGGGAGAGAGAGAGAGAGGGTGTGACAAACAGACAGAAGGACAGACGTCAAAAGAGACAGAAAGACATAAATATTATCACAATATCCTCAAATCAGAAGTGTAATATCTAATAAAACTACTTGTAATATTGACATCGGAGAATACAATATAACATTTCATTCCTTGCTTTCAAGAATGGAAAAGGAATGACAAATCACGAGAATGCTTAATAGCAATAAAAAAAAATAATAATGACCATATTTAAATACCCATATGAACACAGAATTATCACTTTTTTAGCTCAGAGAGGATTTCAGTTAACGGATATGAATACGTAATTTTCCCACATCAACATTTCTCTATCAATACTCGTATCCCCGATTGATAAAAACACGGAGATTTCCTTTGTTTATCCGTTTGTTTTGGTCAATCAATAGCTAGTCAATCGGGAACCTGCCAGTATTTGAAGTATTTCGTCTTCTTTCGTTATACCTTTGTTAAGTTTTCGGTTTATGTGCATATTCCTTCTAATTTAGTTGTATATCAATTGAATATAGAGTATAGCAGAGGAATTTAAAATTTTTGAAGGGGTCACAAGGGAGACCGACCACCACGTGCATCGTGTTGGATAAATGGTATCTGGCAACTCGACGACAGTTGCCAATGCTTCCGACCACATTTCGGGCCCTCTTGAGTCTATTTTGAACTTTATAATAGGTCAGTGAATAGTAAAAATGGTCTAGTATTTTATCTTTTATAAGTAGGACTCATAAATATATAAAATCAACTTGTTTTAGGGTTTGTAATATTGATTCGGCACGAGGGTTTAGCAATCAGCTGATCGAGTCAACATGGCTTCCAGTCTAGCTAGTTCGTGTATCGCGGCTCGTCTGCCGATTGTGGTTGTTTTGGGAGCTACAGGGACGGGGAAATCGAAGTTGGCGTTGGAAATAGCCAGCAAATTTAAAGGAGAGATCATCAGCGCGGATTCTATGCAGGTAATTGAATGGATCTCCCGGAAAATTGGAGGAGAAGGGATGGGGGCGAGCATGTGGACGTGGAGTCTCGAGGAGGTGTGATGGCGGATCGAGGAGGTTCTCCGTCACCGGCTGGAAGTAATGCGGTTTCCTGGCCATGCCTCGCAGCGGAGCATAGATAGCTAGTGATCGGCCGATGCCTCTGGGAGTGAAAATATCGGAATCGTAGGAATTACGGAGTGTAAGTCAAGGATGTTCGAGAAATTGATGGTCTATTCCTTCTCGTCCTTGTGCTATGCAGGCAATGCAACGCCATGCGGTCCATGTGCAATTGCGAGCCACGTGCAACTTTCAGGCACTGAATTGCCGATTTACACCCCGTAGCTTCTTCGCTTCGTCATATCTTGCTGTGGGCCGATGGTATATGGTGATTGGTCATTGTTTATAGTGATTTCCCCAGCTGTCAGTCAATATTTTGCTTGTATCTCGGGACTTCGGGTGCGGGGCTTTTTGTGCTCTGTGCTTGGCTGCCTAGGAGAGAGATCCTTCAAGTGTCCGGTCTCGAGGCTTGACAGCGGAAAGGGGGAATGGTAGAGGAGTTCTTTTCCTTTAATTGAAAGTGCTTTTTAGGCGTAGGGATGGTTTGTCGAGGCCCTTTGTGTGCAGGTGTTTATTGACAGGTAGTTAGATGTAGGCCTATGCATAAAGTTGATAGATTTTTTAAATGTTGTATACCTCGCTTAATAGCCCTAGCATTTGACACTTTTAATAGAGATGACCAACAAGATTGCAGGGAAATTTCAACATTTTACTCTATTAATTAATTGGAAGATTAAGTAAAGTGTGTGACTTTGCAACTCATATGCATCAGGTCATATTTATATGCATTTTATATGTGAATAGATTTATAAGTTTAGAATTGTTTATTATGTACTTTAGAAGTATTCTTTTAAATTTCTTTTATTAGCTTAGCCTATTTCTAGGTAAGTTAGCTGAAAATTGTCCTTATATCATCTCGGGGGAACTGTCAACTGCATCATGTCCTTCCGAGATTCTCCTCCTGTATTGTTTGTCCGATGCATTTTAGTTAAATTGATAGTGTTAGTCATATGTATCTATGTTTTCCTAGTAAATTTGTCGTGGCAGACAAGGTGCAGTTATATAATAAAAGGAAAAATTTAGTAGAATATATGTAGTAAATGGTATGTCAATGTGTGAATAGAATGTGTATTAGCAGAATATATTTAACAGTAAGTACAATATATACAATTTTGTTATAAAGCAAATTATTAGGAAATGTAGAATTTTACTTACTGGTATGTTGTAAAAATTATGTATAAATGAATCAAAGGGTTTTATTGTAACTAGAAATCTTCATATTTTATAGGACTATGTTTGAGTGAGTGGTAATTGATACTCGGTTTTATTTATTTTACTTATACCTTATTAAGTATGTAAAGAATCTTGCAATTTTTTAGGGGGACGGAATATCTGTAAGATACATTTAAGGTGATTAGAAGGTAGAAGTATGATAATTTTTTTTGCTCTGAATTTATTTGTATTTGTTGTTTAAGGATATTTTACATTCTCTTCCTCACAGGTGTACAAAGGCCTGGACATTGTGACAAATAAAGTAACAGCAGAGGAGCAGGCACAGGTGCGACACCACCTCTTGGATTTTGTGGACCCCTTGTCTCGGTACACTGTTGTTGACTTCCGAAATGCTGCCCTTCCTGTCATGGAGAATCTCCTCTCACAGAACAAGATGCCTGTCATAGTGGGAGGCACAAATTACTACATCGAGTCACTTCTGTGGAATGTACTCGTGGATAGTCTGCCGGCCAGTGAGGAGGATAACTCAGCTGCCAAAAAATTGGTCTACGATCGGGATAAGGAGTTTTACGTGCATTCATCCAAGCGAAATGCCAGTGGTGATGAGAATGCCTGGAAAAAGAGCAAGTTAAATAGTGATACCATCCTCAGTAGTGAGTGCAGTGGTGATGGTGAAGATGGCAGTGGTGGGTGCTGTGATGCCGATGGTGTAGAAAGTGTTGATAACAATAATTCCATAGGTAGTGCTAAGAAAAGTGGTGATGTGCAGCATGAAGGAAACACCAAGGAAAATAAGTTAATTAGTGAAGAAGAAAAGCCCTTGGAAAATGAAAAATGTAGTGATCATAGTGATGAAGAAAGAGAAGGAAAGAAAGATGATGCTGATAGTGCAAAGAGTGCAGTGTGGCAAGATACAGAGATCCCAACAGAGGAGTTATACCAAAGGTTGCAAAAGATTGATCCAGATGCAGCTGCCCAGTACCATCCTAACAACCGCCGGAAAATAATAAGGTAAGTTGGTATCCACTTTATTTATTTATTTTCATAGCTTGTGTTTTTTTTTGTTTTTTTTTTAAGGCAACTTTATTAGCTATTTTGGAAATTGTGTTTTGTTTGTTTGAAAGGCAACTCTTAACTATTTTGGAAATTGAGAAGAAATGTGAAAACCTATTTTACGGCATTAATTACTTCCTTTCATTATGGGAATACGCAAAGGAACATGGCATTCGTTGACATATTGCCATAGACATCTGATTGAAGTCAGAGAACGTCATACTAGATGTATTATTATAAACTAAACTAAAAGTGACATTATCTTGACATGACTCTGACATTGACTTAATTTCACATCACAGCCTGACTTCACTTATATCAGCCAGACTTTGGGTTACATCAGCTATACTTCAGGTGACAAAAGCCATATTTCAGAATTTATTAGCCATATATCATAAAACATCAGCCTGATTTTAGATGACTTTAATTGAGATTTCAGGTGAGGCATGCTTCGATTTAGAAGACATGAGCCTAATTTCAGATGACATGAGCCTGATTTCTGAGCCTGATTTCGGATGACATGAGCTGATTTCGGATGACATAGCCTGATTTTGACATGAGCCTGATTTCAGATGACATGAGCCTGATTTCAGGACATGAGCTTTATTTGATACATTAGCCCTGATTTCATGTGACATGATT